GAAAACACCACTTTTGAAAGTCCATAGGTCTGTTGTCTCTTTTGTTCTTGTTGTTTTAATATCAAGCATTGGCATTGTAATGGGTAATATCACTAACTTCTGCTTTTCAAAGATTCACTATGGGAACTATGATATTTTTGCTGAATCTGGAAAGAAATGCCTGTCAGCAGAGAAATCGCTATGGGCAAAAGCAATTATGTAGCTTAGTGGACAAAATGGAGGTCAGGATTCTGAGGAAATCTCTCCTTAAAAAAGCGTTGATGTTCAAATAGTGATACAGAACTGAATAAAACCCACTGCTTTCTATGACGCTGTAACTGGCCAAGTACTGGTGTCACTCAGGCAGAACGGAAATGGGCAAAGGCAGGTGGATCATTAACTGCAAGAAGACAATATTCAGTCCCAGTGTGTAAGTGGACAAAGGATTATAGACTGCTCTTCTGTCATACTTTTTTATTTTCCTGTTTTAAGGGCATTAACTCTTATTATTAACGGATCAAGACCTAAATGAACTTGAGTGAGAAAATGAAGGGCGGGGGGAGAAAGGCTAAACAAGACAGTTACTGAAGAAAAAGTAGGCAGAAGGGGATTGCGAGAGAAGCTGTGAAGAAAAACTCTCTCCCTGGAGACCAGAAGTCTCCAGGTCGCTCCTCTGACAGGAGCCTCAGCCCCGTTTTTCGTATGTCAGCACCATGGTAGTTTCCAGATTTCTTAGTGCCACTGTGAGCAATTGTCAGTAGTGTGCTTTATAGCAAACAGAAGCATCTGTGACTGAATAATACAAATAAAAGGTGCTTTTGTAATTTATTTTGGTATGGAATGATTAAGTTAGTTGAAGTTTTGACAGGTTAGGAGGAATGTTGTTTGTCAGTATACTTTATTCTTTTAGCTTGGGATTTGGAAGCTTAATAAACATTTCTACTTTAATGCCTTCAAAGAAAAGTTACTGAGGGCCTTTTAATTGCATTAATGTTATTAGAGTTGACTGAAAACAAAGTGTGTGTTCCCTGCTTTACCTGAAATGGAACTTCCTACTGGGAAGCTGGGATCTGACCTTAATGATAACTCTACTTAAAGTAAGCTCGTCAGACGGACACTGTAAGTGTCATAAGCTCTACCTAAAACTAGAATGCTTTTGAGAAGTTACAATTTTTCATGCAACTTTCATAGCAGGGCTTTTTCAGGCCTAATCACTGCTGTAAAGAACATGTGTTTTCAGTGCAAAACCATTGATATAATGCATTGCATAGTTAGGCCCTTTTAATGAATACAGGAAAAGAGAGCTTGCTTCTGTTCTTCCGCTATTGCAGGTTCTGGTGTTATAGGCCAGGTGGGACCATTGTGTGTTGTAGCCTATGTTCAGCAGATGATCAGAATAATTGAATTTTTCTAAATTAACAAATGTCATGTATGTGAAAAGATTGTAACTTAATAACCTAACAATCTCCCCAAGCAAGCTTTCGGCAGCAATACAGCATGTGTGTGTAACAGGACAGCTTTACCCCAAAGCCTTTCAGTAGTCCCCTTGCCTTTCCCTGTTCCTAACTTGACTTTTCTACTATTTGTTTTTCTTCCCCTTGTCTTCTGTTATTTTGGTTTCCAGTCTCTGATCTAGCTATCTAAAGACATGTTTTCAAGTATTAGTATTCTTGAAGCAATCCATGTTGCTTGCAGAAAATATTGTAATTCTCATTTGATTAAGAACATTGTCCCTTAAAACTTTTCTCAGTGATTAATTCCCTCCTTAGCAGTATGTAATCTTATGATACAAGTTTCTTAGTTTTAGTTTTTAGCTGATGAATAATCTTATCTTTAAGTGGTCCATTTTGAAGCGCCCCTGAATTAGTGTGGTCTATGTCTAGAGACTGAAATCAATTTGATTCTAAATTTTCTGTTAAGCCTGTACCTTGATACAGTGGGGTTTTTTGCCATTGATACAAGAGACTTCGGCTCTTTTAATTAAAGCTTTTCTGAAGAACCATTAAGACTCTTCTGTGAGCCTTCTCCAACTTAACATCACATTTCTGAAGCTGTAGATGCCAGACTGGAAAAAGAATGTCAGTTTTGGTAGATTTGCAGCTACAGATAGGAAATACATCTGTGTCCATTTTCTAGAGGAAGATTTTTTTCTTATCGATAGCGCTGGAAATCCCATTAGCTAGCTTCTGTAACAGCAGAAGATAGTTCCAGTGACTTTGCTATTAGTACTGTAATTTCACTGGAAAGAAGAACATGTCCTTAGGTATACCAGCTAGCACAGAGAAAGGTTCGGTGCGTCTTGTCCCCTTCCCTCTGTACACGTAGTCTTAAACCTTTATTGAAGTAGCTGATGCTGGTGAGTCCTTTCACATTTGCTGTATTGGTATCATTTCTACAGTGTTTACTTCTGACTTGTGCGAGAGCTAAACTTAGACTTGAGACACAGAAACCCAGTACAGCACCTTGTTTATTGAGATGAATTTCCTAGCTGCCTGGTGTTCGATTTCTGTCCTCCTGCTCACAGCACAGGCAGCGTTGCTAAGGCCAGTGTTCAGCCCTGCGTTGGCCTGCTTAGCTCATCAGCTGGAAAAGGGAAGGGGACAGGGACCTGGTTGATCTCTTCCTTGCAAGATGACTCAGGTTGTAGCTTTCTGTGATGTGACCTTACAGTGTATTGGAAGAAATGTGCCTAAAACAGTGAAAAAAAGCATCAGTGTTATTGTGCAGGGCAGTGGTGAGGCCTCCTCTATAATATTAGGTGTCATAACGCCCATCAGGCTATAGCAGATGTGGCACATGGCTCCATGGATGATGTAGGGCTTGTTGCATAGGAAGAAATTGAAAGAGCTTAGGGTGTTTCCCCTACTAAAACAGGCCAGAGAAGGGTATTTATTACATTGCTGAAGATCGCGTGTTCATCTTGCACCAAATGTTCTTAATTTTACATCCATTCAGAGCCTGAAATTAAATTTGATCCATGTTACACTTGTTAAAAGCAAAACAAAGACCTTGGTGCCTGTAATTGACACCACAGCTGTTTATAGTAAGAGTTGACCTCACAGTATTTGGCATAGCAGGAAACTGCAGCAATATGTGTCCTTTTCCCACTCACCTTTATTGCAGAGAGAAGAGAGGGAAGATTCTCCCTTGAAAGGCATGTCTTGGTAAATTAATAGGGTCTTTCTTCTGGTCTGAGGCATTTGGTGTTAAATGTTTTAAAAAGCTTAATTTTGTGTTTTCAAGCAATAATTTTACAACTCTAAAAAACCCTTTGCAGCATCTCCATATTTTGGACAAAAACCTTGCACATAGATAGCCCCCACTGTAGACTATGTAAGCTACACATAGTTATGAGGAGGGGAGAAGGTGTCTCAAAGATTTCCTCTGAAGAGGAGCCCAGTTCATTTAATAACTTTATCAGAAAGGAGCAGTCTTTTCAATCAGTTGGGAGTTGGTTGCTGTGCAGTGTTAAAAAGGCTTTTTCTGGTCTATATTCTTTATCTAATGTACAAACACTTGGAGAATATTTTATTTATTATGACCAGGTTTCAGCAATGCATTTAATATGCAGAAAACCATTCTTGTGTTCTGTCCAGTGGATTTTACCTACAGTCCATGAGCATTACTTCTACTCCAGTTTTTACAGGCTCAGACAGTTATGGGCAAGTAGGGTGAGTGAGATTAATGCAGGTGGTAAGAAAAAGAACTCAGTTGTGCAGTATTGTTTGTTTAGCAAAAGGTTTTGTATGTGAATGAGGTTAAGGAGGGGAGGACCCTCGAGATAAGTGAGTGGAAGCAGGGAGTGTTAGTTTGCAGAATTTTTCTCTTCATGTGAGAAGACCGAGGAAGAGAGCATTAGTTCCTCATGCCTGTTAAACAAAACAACTCTGTCCTTGTCAGGAGGTCAGAAGATCACTGTAGTGATCTTATGAAGTTCCAGTGTAAGCAGCAGATGGCTTCTTTTCACATCTCAGGAAGGATTCATTGTCGTGTCTGGTTAAAGTCTTTATTAAAAAAAAAACCTCAATGAAAATATCAATGTACAAATGATTCCTCCTAGGACTTCTTCCTCTGTGTTCTCTCTGCATGATGACCTACTGTGAGAGCCCATCTTCTTTCTGCTGCTGCTTCCCATGTTGTCCAGGGATCTTCTTGACTGCTCCCCTGAAGAGCCTGATAATTGTAATACTGCCTGCCGAGCCTTGGCAGGTTGTGTGCAGAAGGGCAGTGGCTATCCCTGCGCTGGCTTTGCAGTCATTTGTCCTAGAGTTAGCTGTCAGTCTTATAAACTGGGCTGGTTTTAAGAAAGCCCCAGGGATTTTATTTGTAAGAGTAAATATCAATTTATCAATGTCTTTAAATATTATTCTAATACCAGTGCTGACCTCTGGTGCTGCTTGGCAAACTGAACAAAATGCTGGCTTAAAAGCCATTTTCCATGCTTACTATTGAGGATTGCCACTAGGATTTTATTTTTATGTTGTTCACGTTACGGTGAGTAATACATTATCAGTGGAAGGATCTTTGTGAAAGAGAGTCAGCTAATGGAAACCCTTATGCTGCCTGAAGAGCTGTTTCCTGCGGGGCTGTACGTAGGCTCCTACATTCTACAGAATGTTCATTTTGAACAAAATCCACAATGCAGGAGATCACAGAGCAAGTTTCAGTCCTGCTCTGGGAAAGTTGGATGTTTGACTAGAATTAACTGCTTTGAACCCATTGTGCTTGAATTACTTGTAGAGAATAACATTTGTGTACAGTGAACTCCTGTGCAAATACCATGGTAATAACCAAAGGTACTGTGTCTGGTGGAAAGAAAATGCCAGCTCTTCTGGAAGCAGAGAAAGAGAAGGAATGCAAGGAGGTAGGGGAAAGAACAGAGATGCTGGCTGCCATGGAGGTTTTCTTTTGTGACTTTTATTTTCTAGTAGTACAATGAGGGGAGTGGGAAAGTAGGGCCTAGCGTGAAGGGGAAGACGGAGCTGTTTTTCTTCTCATCCCAGAGACTTATAATAACTACTTTAATACTTATCCTGGCAATCCTTCTTATAAACAGGGCCGTTGCTGAGCTGCCAGATCTCTTGCTGTGTGAGATGACACATTAATACTGAGCTTATTGGAGCAGGTTCTTCAGTTTTGTGCAGGTTGTTTTCCATGTTGTAGCAAAAAGATCTCTTTGTACTTTCTGTTCTCCTTTGGGATTATTTTTTATAAGTGGGAGAAGCTGGAAGAGCATCTCCTTGAACACTGTCAGAGATGTTTTTGATGGTGTGCCAGAGGAGAGTGTCCTTGTCAGATTATGAAGATGTTTTTCAGCTCTGCGTCTCCCTTGTTCTGGCTTGAAGTCAGAGGGTCCAGCTTCACCTGGAATCCTCGAGTAGCAATCAGTGCAGTCTGTACCAGTACCACCACCCCAGGCTGGACAGAGACCTCTGAAAGTAGCTGTGTTGAAATATAGCAAGCAGGAGAAAGGGAAATACTGCTTGTTTTAGCAAGGTAGTGGCTCAGAAATAAAGAATAGAAAGAGTGCAAATTCCTCTGCTTAATTGAATTATGTTATCACTACCTAGTGTTCTTTTAGTGTAGAAGAATTTTTTATGTAATACAGATTCAATCCTTTGTTTATTTTTAAAACCCATGGTTTTAGGAAACACACTCCTCTTAATTTGCCAGTTCTAGTAACTAATTCTAAGAATCAGCAACAATCTAACACTCAGCTTTTGTTCTCAACAAGTTACTCTGCCCAAGTTATTCTGGCCGGCTTTCATTCCCACAGCATGCTAACTCTTGAGAAGCAGCAAGCATTTACATCTTTCTTTTTAATTATTTCCAACATCCAAATAAACCCTACTTCCCTAGAAGATTTTTCTCGATTCTTCTTTAACTCTGACTCTTTGTCTGGATAAGCCCCTGTTCAGACTCGCTTCCCTTTATGTGCCCTAGACAGATAGCTCTTGCACAGGGCAAAAGTTCTGAACTGCCTTGCCTTTGATGATTGTTCTACCTGCTAATGAAGCTGTGCTCCTGCCTGCTAGAACTGCTTGTCCCATGGCTGGTAACCACACGAAAACCTTGCCTACATTCCCAGCTGCTAGCTCCTGTCTGCAAACCTAGGCGAGCTCTGTCCTCAGCTCCAACTGTTGTTCACCTCATATCACCTTTCTGGGCTCACCTCCCATCTGCTGAGAATCTCAGCTGTGTGTGAGTCAGGGAGGACCAACCTTAGCAAATGGCAGACTGCAAAGTTACTGCTTTTGCAGATTGTATCGCCTGTGGAGTACCTTTGCATTGCTGCGAAGGAGATACGAAGGTGGTGAGGGGTTTTTCTGTTGTTGGGTTTTAAATAATGTCATTCATCTATGTATCTAAGTCCTAATCTTGGAGATGCTGAGTTTAGGATCTTGGAGCTAATATGTAAGTCTATGTATGAATGTTTGGAACTGCAGGGTTTCAGATGAGAGGTTGTCTTTTGCAAGCCAAGTCTCTTGCTGGTTGCTTATTTATGCAGGGCACCAAGCTTGCACGCTGCTTCAGTCTGAAAGGTGTATTCCAGGTCACACAACTGAAAATAAGTGCTTGTTCTACAGCTTCGGTGAGGGGAGAACTGGCTGAGTACGAATGTTGCCTGAACTTTGTTCTTGTTTTGAAGAGCTAACCAACTAAGAAATATTGGAGAGGGGTAGTAAAGAAAGGGAAAAACCTCTTTCAAACTTAATGAACACTGCTCCGGACATTCTCAGTAAATGCCTCTTATTTCCCATAGTTCTACAGTAGAAACCAAGCTAGATAGTAAAGTTATTTGGTAAAACACTGATTAGCAGGTATTTCATTTCCCAGAAAATCAGGGAAGAGTAGTGTTTGTCTTTATCGGGTGTATCAGCAGATATTTCCTCTATGTAAGCACCAGGTGGCATTCTTACCATGATTATGATCAGAAGTTGCTATTTTCCATTTCAGTTTTATAAATCGCATCTTATATCAAGATGAGTACGCATATTGTCTTTCTGAAACACGGATTTTGGGCTCCGTTAAAAAATACCAGCTTGGTTAAAGCCTGGCTGATGGTCTAACTTGTTTTGGTACCTAGAGATGAAGATTCTTTTCAGAACTTTTGTACAAATCCTTGGGTGTGCAGCGACAGTGTTGTAGTCTGGTATGTATGTATCATCCTACCTTTAAAGGATGGTTGGTCACTCTCTCCCTTCCAGCCCTGGTACCATTTCTTGGTCTTGATGTCAGTTTCTTCTTGAGCAAAAATCTTGCAAGCCTGGTCTTGGATGTTTTTATAACTTTTAAAGTTCTCTTAAAGAATCCTGTAAAAATGAGTACTTCGAATTGTTGTTTAATATGGTTATTTATTTAAAAAATTATTGTAAGAAACATTTCCATAGACTGATACATTTTAGTTCTTCTTCCTGGAGTTGGTATTTACTAGAAATGTCTTTCCTGCTTTTATTCCAGGCCCTGTCTGCAGTATATGCGTATCATCTTTTGGAGCAAGACCAGTAGCAATCTTCAGTGGCTTTATGGTGGCTGGCGGCCTCATGATGAGCAGTTTTGCACCTAACATATACTTTCTATATATTTCTTATGGGATTGTTGTTGGTAAGACACAGCTTCCCTTCATATAGAGACTTAGTCTTTCTTATTTTGAGTCCTGGTTTATGAATCAGAAATGGGAAACTGATTCACAGAGGCAGTGGTAGTCTGGGACTGGAATACTTTGGGAATACTTTGGGGTGGGGAGGGGTGTTGCACAGGTAGGCTGTTACCACGTAGTGAAAGATAAAAGCAATGCATCTGTTCGTCAGGGTTTGAAATCAGTTTGTCCTCTGCTGACATGATTGTTAAAGATGGAGAAGTTGAGGTTTTACCTAAGGGGTGGAATCAAGCAGGTCTTCTGCAGACATGAAGTGCCAATCTTAAAGGAATAATATATCTTCAGGAATTTTGTCATGTGCTCATTCTAATTCGATAAATTGGAGATCATTAGGGAGCAATGTTGTTCTCCACATAACTGGTTTGAACCCAAAATGCTGTGCTAGAGGCATGAAAGTGCTGTTCTCCTGGCAGGTGGTGACCTGCCCCTCTGTGCTGCAGAGGGCTGCTGTGGGTGGTTTATCAAATTAACTGTGTCAGGAAGCCAGGCACCTTGCAGGCCAGCAGGGACCCAGCAGTGTGCCAGCTCGGGCACGGTGCCACGCGGAGGCAGCTCTGCTCTTTTCTGGGGCCAGCCCCTGGCCTGGAAGCCATGTAACCCTGCCACGTAGCACGGAACCTGAGCTGGTGAACTCCTCAAACGCAGCTGCTTCACACAGCTTCCACAGCCACGGATGGTCAGGGCAGAGGGAGAGGAACAGTGCAGGCAGCCTCATGGCCCAGTCACAGTAAGACTGGCGTGGCTGGTGCTAAGCTAGAGTTATAAGGTACCTCCGTGCCCAGGGTACACTACTGTATTATCTGGGGAATTGAAGGGGGCATTCTTTGCTGAGTGTTGCATGCTTCATTTCTAACTCTTTTTCTCAAGGGCTTGGATGTGGCCTTTTGTATACTGCAACAGTCACCATCACTTGCCAATATTTTGACAAACGCAGAGGCCTTGCACTTGGTCTGATTTCAACAGGTATGACTTTTAATTGTCATTCTAACTTTTCAACTCGGATACAACTACCATTACCCTGGCAATAAAAAACCAGAAGATTATATTTTTCTCAGTTATTTGCTGAAGTACTTCTTATGTCAAAACATCAGTAGCAATGGACAGATAAAATCAGGTTTCAGATAAAACAGTAACTGCACTTGCAGGTGTATGGTATGGGTTGTCCACATAGCTGAGAAAAGGATATTCACTAAAATGAAAGCAGGCTCATGTGCAGCTTGGGCTGTATGTCATGGCTAGTAAGAGGGGAACCTTTCCATAGAGCTCTCTTCTTCCTCTTCTTTCTTACACAAGATCAGGGGTGAGAAAGAGATTGGAGAAGCAGGATATAAATGCTGGATCACCATAACCTCGCATTAGCTGTGCCTTCAAAGCAGTCGTTGAAGTTTCAGCTTACATTTTTAATATTTTTTCCGTTTTGAAATCTTCCAAAAGCTTATCCCAGCTTTTTGTCCACGTTTGTTAAAGGGATCCTAGAAAAACAAACCTCTGATAATACAAGGAAAATTCTTAGAAGGATGCTGAGCAGTCTTTTTTGTCCTCTCTCTGGGTCTTTAGGTGGTGTGATGTTTTCCTTTACACCAAAAGGAATTGCTAAACTAATGGACCAAGTAGGAATCATTAAAGAAGTGCCTTGTTTTCTGTGTTGTGTGGAGTCTCTCCTCTGATCTGTTTTCTCAAGCAGCTGTTAGTGAGGAGAGGCCTGGTCAGTACAGTCAGTGTCGTGAGATATTAATGCCAGATCCACTCTAGTAGAATAAAGGGAACTTCTGCAGACATGTTCCTTGGAATCACTTTCAGTGGCTGCTGTTGGGATTTCAGGTAGTTTACCTTAAGGCCTGATCTTACTGAGCCCTGGTTAATTGTAGTACTTGGAAGACAAAACAAGTCTGAATTTTATAATTATTTTTTTCCTGTGTTTAGCACTGCAGTATATAAATGGCTTTAATATAGTATGGAGACAGTCTTCAGCAAATCATTTTAATTTGAAGTTTGTCTTTAAATTGACTTGACAAACCAGTGCTCTTTATTTCTGACTGGACATCCATTGATTACAGTGCATTTATGCTCACTTCAGCCGAGAGCTTTTTCTTTAAATTGGTGGGATTGCATAAAATGCTTGTGTGAAATTCTGACTGTGCTAACTCAGAACAGTACCTGAAGGGATCCATGTATGTAAGTGCAAGGCAGAAGGATGGCTTAATAGTCCTTGATGGTTTTCATCAGATATGGTATTGCTCCTACTTGTTTCTAAAGTGTCTGCTAGTATTAATCATCATAAATGGCTCAGATATTTTAAAAGACTTTTCATTTTGTGCAGACTCAATAAAGAAACTGTAACTTCAAGAAGGATGATAACTTATCAGTTAGACTGGGAAGAGAGGAGCACAAATGAGTTACCGTTCCTGTGACAGTGTATTTGTAGCTGCTGAAATGTAGATGATTGTTAGTGTTGAAAAATCTTCTCAGTCCTTCAGTTTAAACAGGTTTTATTTTCCTTTTATAGGCTCAAGCGTTGGACTCTTTATATATGCAGCATTGCAAAGAGAACTTATTGATCTATATGGACTGGATGGTTGTCTACTAATAGTTGGTGCACTGTCTCTAAATATATTAGCATGTGGCAGTCTAATGAGACCATTGGAGTCATCTGATTCCACTCCGCCAGAGAAAACACGTGTAGACAAAGTCCCGGATCAGTATTCTGTTTACCATGAGAAAGAAAAGACTGTTGAAGAAAATATAAGCATCCTTGAAAAGGGCTACATTGATGAAAAATGTGCAAACAACATGCCTGATTACAAACAAGATAGCATTTTAAATAAGAATGTATTAAGCTCCATAAATGTAAATGAGAAAGACACTTACAAAAAGAAAGTTGTAGAACAGACAAACTTCTGCAAGCAACTCGCCAAAAGGAAGTGGCAGCTCTACTTGAACTACTGGGAGGAAACCGTGGTTCTTTTTAAGAACAAAGTATTTTCAGCTCTCTTTGTTGCCATCTTGCTCTTTGATATTGGTGGATTTCCTCCTTCTCTGCTGATGGAAGATGTAGCAAGAAGTGCAAACATTAATGAAGATGACTATCGTATGCCCCTTATTTCCATTATAGGCATTATGACTGCTATTGGCAAACTTACTTTAGGAATATTGGCAGATTTCAAGTGGGTTAACACTTTATATCTCTATGTAACTACCTTACTAATGACAGGAGCGGCCTTGTTTGCAATTCCGTTTGCCAAAAGTTACCTTACGTTAGCGATGCTTTCTGCCATTTTGGGTTTTCTGACTGGGAACTGGTCCATTTTTCCCTATGTGACAACAAAGACTGTGGGAATTGAGAAACTGACTCACGCGTATGGGATATTGATGTTCTTTGCTGGACTTGGAAATAGCCTCGGGCCGCCAATTGTAGGTAAGGTCAAGGTAGATACTATAAAATGAACATGAGCTTCTCAGGACCACACAGGATTAATTTGCATGCAAGTAGTTCTAGTTGGTCCTAATAGCAATGGAAAGATGAAATAAAAATGTTCAACAAAAATTAAAGCCTGTTATGCTTGAGCTGGCCAAGTTGATTTTGTTCTGGCTTTGATGAAAAGCACATTTCATCTCTAAGCGGTCAAACAGCATTTCAGATTTGGCCCTTTTTTGTTGTTGGTTTTTTGTTGTTGTTTTGGTTTTGGTTTTTTGGTTTTTTTTTTTAGTTTGGGTTTTTTTGTTTGATTTTTTGTTTTAATGATGTGTCTCTAACTTACAGTGCTGTGTTACGTATGACCTCACTGATGCACTTCTCTCTCACTTTCACCTTCAGGTTGGTTTTATGACTGGACGCAGGAGTATGACACTGCATTCTATTTCAGTGGCTTTTGTGTCTTGCTGGGTGGATTTCTTCTGCTGTTGGCAGCGCTACCCTGCTGGAACGCCTGTACCAATCAGAGCTCAAAGCTGCCTCCAAATGCTTACTCCTACAAAGTTGCATCTAGTGCTTAGGTGACAACTGGAAAACACTTTGTGCTTTTTTATATTATGTAGCAAAGTATTTTAGTAATTTTTTTCATATTTATGAAGCCCAAAAATCCTCTTCCACTACACAAATTCCATTGTTGCTTGTTTTTCTGTTCATTTTTCTTCTTTTATTTCTTTTTTTAAATTTTATTTTTAAGAACAGTCTTATTTTGTCTACTGTACACTGTGTTTTCAGCCTTTGTCTACTGTAACTTCCTTTCACCCCATAAGGGGTATATTCTGCTGTATTATCAGATATACTTTTTGGTTTTTTTTAACGGGAGTGATGCGGAGGGATGAAAACTTTGAAGAAAAAATGAAGACCTGTTCCTTACAGGAGAAGGCTGGCATTTCTGTCACCTTTTATATGTCTCCAAGTTGCACAATCAAACTTTACAAAAGAAAATATTGCCTTATTAGAATGTAATACTGTGGCAAGGTGCTTCTAACATCATGCTTAGATTAACTTCTCACCTTTTTAAAGTTTCTCTAATTCACAATGAAGTGCCAACTGGGGGAGGGGGAAGAGGGGGAACAAAACCAACCTTGTGTTGCATAAGTGAAGTGAACTTTATAATGAAAGTAAAGATTCTTACTACCACTGCAACTAAGAACTGTGTTTATAAATATTGCACATTTTGTGAAGTCTGTTTATAATACTGTTGAACCAAAACCTTTTAAACCAAGGAATAAATATGATTGTTGAAACCATGAAAAGAAATGCTGACTTAGTTATACAAGTTCATAATCTTCAGATTAGAGTTACAGATGTGCTCACAGAAGCCCACAGGCGAGTGTTTCTAAGCAGGTCACCTGCAGTCTGGCAGTGCGGTGGGCATCTGTTTTTGCACGAGTACGGTTTAGCAGGTTGAACCTGCTGCAGAACGCTTCATAGCAGAGCTTTCAACAAGGTAGACTTGATGAAAAACAGGAAAAATGTGACAGCATATAATCTTTGCTCTCTCAGTTTTGGAATGGACATAGCAAAGTGAAAAGTTAGTAACAGGGAGCAAGAAGGATCATGAGGGAGAGATAACAGAAGAGGTAGAGGGAAGCTGAGGTGAAAAGAGTTCCAACACTTGAACACCAAAGAGACCAATGACTCAGGTACTCTGTAGCTGTGGGCTGGCTCTGTGTGTATGTTGGATTTTTGCTTTTGTTTAACCCAAGGCTGGTGTGACTGGAGGGGATGCTACATGAGCATGAAGCCTTTCCTGAGCCAGGCAGGTGCTTCAGCGAAGGCAGGATGACTCGGCTCACTCCACACTGCCCCTTGTGCCCTGTGCAACAGCTTTTGCTTCCGTAGCTGTTCCCGCACCAGAGATGTGCCTGGTTGCTCTTGCATAGTAGTCACAGAAATCTATCCATCTGTGGTATGTGCTGTGCGCTTTGGCTTCTTGCTGTAGGTTTAAAGTTTAGGGGAGCACGCTGGGAAGCCTTAGGTGAGGTAGAAGTTCTCAGTCCTGAGTTTACATCCTGTATGGCTGCCGGCAAATGCCCAAGTGGTTCTCAGCAGTACTATGTGCCTCAAACGCCTGCTGTGAGTCTGCCTCATAAGTAACCCTTAAGATAAAAAACAGGCATGTAATGAGCAGCCTTTATTGTCAAAGTGCTAGGCACAGAGTTTACTGTGTTTGCACACATCAGTAAGCAAGAGCCATGTAACCTCTAAGTGGGGCAGACATAAGTGCAAGTAATGTTCCCTCTTCTGGTCCAAGGTAGGAAAATCCAGCTTTGTTTCAGAGAGTTTTTGCTGACTTTCTGGGATTCACTTATGGGTTTTTGTATTAAAACTTGACAAAAATAAAGATACAGTTAGTTTGTCTCTTTTTAAAAAATTTAGTTATTTTTAATTATTTCTTATCTATTTGTCTGCTGGGTGTAATTCCTGTGTGTTTTGGTTTTGGTTTTCCCCTGGATTGCTTGTTCAGTGCATGTGGATACAATGCTGAGTATTCAATATAGGCATAAGTGCAGCTTCATTCCTAAATTGGAGTCCTTGGTATCCGATGTGGATTTGAACCCTTTTTTTTGCACTGTATGGCAGCTGTAGTCAGATTTTACTGCATGCATATAAAAGTAGTACTGTTTTTCACACATCTTAAAGAAACTGTGGTGATACATGGGATATAATCAAGATGTGTATGCCTTCAGATTAGTGCTTTTTAAAGTCTCTCGCTTCCTGCCAACCATACATTTTGAGTACTTTAAATATGAAACCGATGTTAAATTAGTTGTCAGCTGGAATTAATGTTAATGGTTGGGCAATACGTATCACACTTTTGCAATGGAAATTGAGTCTATTATTAGGCAGCTCAGTATGTCTGGAAATACGACTAGTGGTCTGTGATAGTTTCCTGGTGTAATCCTACCCATCCGCGAGGAAAGAGCCCTGACTGTTCAAGAATTTCATATTGCCACTGCAGGCATTATGCATTAGGACTCCTAGCCCTTGCCAGTTGAGCACTGTGACTGTACTAATCTTGACTTTAACTTATAAACAAGACCTAAGAGAGGTACAACATGATTATAATTCGCTTGAAAAGTAGGTTGTCAACATTGATGGGACAGTACAGGTAGGTAGGTACACAGTGCTGCCATGCAGAATTAAACTCTGCATCCTCGTGAGCTTTATAGGCCTTGACAAACAGATCTGGAACAGAGGGCAGGAGATGCTTAAATAATTACTCTTTATTGTAGAAAAAAAGTTATTGTTTATTGCACAAATTAATTGGTTACTGTGGAGTCAGTCATGAATAGAACATTTATCATCTTATTTGCAGATCCTAAGAAAATTGACTGTGGTAACCAAAACACAAGACAAATGAAACTTCTAAGTTGTGTTAGATTTAAAGTCTGTTCTGTGCCTTGCTCAATCGATGTTCTTCATGGTTAGCTGCAAAAATGGATTACATTCCTTTGGTAGCTGTTAACTTGTCTACATCATGCTGGATTCCTGCATCATTGAACAATGTGCTGAGTAAGATCATATGTTAAAAAATTGGTTGAGAGGTTTACGTAGTATTAAACTGACACTGAGATTTTTTTAATTGAAAGACATTTCATTTAAGGCATTTCAGGAGGGCAAGTTCAATGAATATGGTGGGCTGCACACGATAGCGGTCAGATTAAAAATGGCAAAAGATAAATTATACAGCAATTGGACAAGTATGGCAAAGGAAGTGGCAAAAGCTGCTTTGTAGTATGAAATAGAATTCCTCAGATTGACAGGACTATTTCAGTGATGTTTTCTTTGAGACTCAATTGATTATGCTGAAGATCCAAGTTAAAGACTTGTCAGTCTTCTTATAAGAAATAATCTTTAGAGATGTGTCGGTATGCTCTCTGTTTACCAAAATCTATGTTGCTTTTTACTTTTTAAGAAAAATATTTGTGCTTTTAAATTGAACCAGTTCTTAGTAACCAATACACAGATGCTCATGGTGCTGTATCATGTAATGATTTTGTTGCAGGAAAAAACAAACCATAAAATTGTTTTTGTTGGAAGGCACCTGTAAAGCTCATCTAGTCCAACCTCCTGCTATGACACAGTGATTTCAAGTCTGGTCTGCTTCTGGTTTTGTTGTCGCTTTCATGGCTTAGTGAGGAAGTCGTGACTCCTTTCTCATATGTCTTATATAAAACTGAAGTCAAATATGACTGGTATGAATGCAGAATTCTCAACTTCTCTGCCTGCAGATGCTCAAGGCTTCCTTTAATGAGGAATGGGAGTCTTGTGCACATGTGATAAGGAAGAGTTGGAGACGGGACAAACCTCTTGGCTTTGGGGTCTCCTGCTCTCCTTTTTCCTCTTTGGATCTCCTGTGTCAGGTTTAGTGTTTGTCCTGTGTGTGCTGCAGTTTTGTGAGCTAGCGTAGAGTGAGAGGTAGGAGAATTCCGTGCTGGAGCCTAAAATTTAATACTCGGGTACCTCCAGTCTCCTCACGTAGCATGCAACAAGGATTATCATGCAAAGTCGGGTCACTGAACACGTACCTCAAGAGTCTTCAAGGGAGCATCACTGCACCCATTCCTCACTGAGCCTCAGTGCCACTGCAGAGGGATTAAGTACAGTGAGCTTTCCAGGCCATAGTTTCAAGTTGTGTTTTGTGCCAGTGGAAGTGCTTTCTTAAGGCACCCAATATCATTGTGGGTGCTCTGTTGTAAACCTACTCGGGGAACCCCTGGAAATGCCTTTTTTTTGGTAACAGAGATCAGCTGATCTCTACAGTGTGGGCTCACATCTAACTGCTAGCACAACAGGCTGTGGTGCGCCGCAGCACATGGGTGGGAAGGAGCTTGGAGCGGTTCCTTTGTAAGCTGCCCTTGCGGTCATGCCCCTGTGCAGCGAGACTGCAGCAAATGTTGTTCCCAGCTGCCTTTGGCTCCAGGCTTAATCTTATTTGATCGTAGTTAAACTTGCAAAAACATTTTCTTTTAGTTCAAATTAATGGTTTTTTCTCCCCCCCGTTTCTGTCATTGCAGGCTGAAAATCACTCAACTAAACTCCCTTTTCTCCTTTCCTGGTGTCACAGCTCGTGTTGCAAAGTAAACATGTTTTCTGTGATTAACAGCAACGGCTAGGAGATGTTGCTGAGTAACAGGATGAATACCTGCTCCCCTGGTTTGTAAATGACGAGTGCTCTGACCAACTCTATATTTACTGATCATATCTAAATTGTGTGGGGTTTTTGTGGCTATAACTTTAAAATTTGATACATAACATGCATATCAAGTTGTATTAGGTCACACTGTCTTCTGTTGGAATCAAATTACTTCACTGTTTAATTAAAATGTCCCTGGGTTAGAGTGGCTGTCTCCCTGCTTTGCATTACTTAGGGGACCGTCTTTGCAGATCAGGATAACTGAAATCTGGCGTGTCTTGAATTACCGTAAATACTGCGTATGAGGTTATGCAAGGGTTCATAAAAATGCTTCAATTAATTAATATTTCCTTCAGAGGAAGGAAAAGAGTTGTGTGGAGGTGCTGTCAGAGATTAGAGGACAAAAAAAAAATACATTTATGAGACTGGGCTCGACAGTCTGGTATCTCCCCAGACATCATCAGTTATAGGTAACAATTCAGTAGTCACTGTTTTGGGTGAGTGGATGACTATTCTGCCTACCAGAAAGATTCCTGGGTGAGAGAGCTGGGG